GTAGGCGTCGGCAGACCGAAATTAATTTTCCCCGCACCCCGCCACCATACGCTGGTGCATCGTTTTGCGACCCAGCCATATTGGTTCGCCACCCCTGACCTACAACGACGGATCTTACAATAGATTTAATGCCGAAACAACAGCAGTCGTAACCGATATTCGGTACTCTACGGATTCCCGATTACGTAGAACGTTCGAGGGTAAAAAAGTGTGTCACACGGTTCTACTATTCTCCTTCGGTGCTTTTTTTCTGTTCATTATTGTTATTTTAATGTAAATTAGTTCCCGTTCAAGGGTATGATTATATAGTATATAATAAGTGGGGCGATTTGTATGGTCTTGCGTACCATTGATACCGGTCGAAAAAAAAATAACCAGTTGATATGATACCGGAATGCGTTACACGACTCGACAATTTTGTATAATACATTATGTATTTTATACGTTCAAAATATCATTGGAGTTTAATAAAGTTCTATTGTTCTCTTTTACGACTCAACAAATCTAAAATTACCAAATAATTGTTTGAAATTTTCAAATAAAAACAAATGAGGCGAGCCGATAACTTTATATTATAACAATATATAGTATTTGAGTTTTAGATAAATTATAATTTGTATCGCTCTTATTTGTTTTGCTATTTCTTTCAGCAATATTTCGAGCTTTTTCTGCTATAACAATATGAAATCTATAGAGTTAGGATAGATATTAAACTTGTGTAATTTTCAATTTCGAGAAAACCGGCGTTTGGTGTAAATGGATTAAAAGCGTGTGGAAAAATTGTTTTGGGGAAAAAACACGAGCGACGTTTTATTAAATTTATGTATCCAGTTTTTCTCATTGAACCGAAAAAATTATCAACAAATTTTACCTTACAATGGATATTTTATATAATATTGTAAAATATATCTTTTCAAAAAGAAATACAAGAATGCGATCACAGTAAAATGAAAAAAAACAACCATGAGCAGTGTAGATTCTTTCATCGTATTTAAAAATTCTTTACAAAACAATAATAATAAACCACCGAATACTATAATAATACCAAAAATGGTATGTATTTTACTATAATCGTACACAATTTTAAAAAATAAAAAGAATGAGTACATTTTGATCGAAAAATGGTAAGACACAGACAATTTGAATGTTGAACCTACCAAATAATGTGTTATTTTTGATACTTACCTCGTGAGTTAACAAAATGGCATAATCTTAACTTAATTTTTATGCGGATCGGTAATATCTCGTATTGTAAATTTTATCTCGGATTTTGGGGAATCAATTTTGTATTACTTTTAGTATCCCTATTCCTTTTTGGTTTTGACCTTGTCAGTAATGAATGAAAACAAATAGGTGAAACTAATTTAATAAAAAAATTGTGAAACTGTGTTCAAATAGTGAAATTTGACCCGTTATTTATCGCTCTAATTCATCTGTAAAACTACTCTAATGCCCAAATTTGAGATTATTTAGTCAAAAAAATAATTATGAAGTGTGTATAATATGCAATAGTTGGGAAAAATTATTTTTTGGGATCAACTATTTCGATCGAGCTAGGTTTATATTACAGCAATGCAATTTAAAAAGTACCGTAATGTTCTAATACTCATGCCTCTTTAATTTCACGTAGGTGCGTATATTATACTAAATATTGACGTTTTCGGTCGATTCATTTTTAACCGTGTTTGTTTTATGACCTCAATGATCGTTGGCAAAGCGGCCAAGTGGTTTTTTACTCTATATTATTATTATTATAACACTATATAAGTACGCTTGGAGAATTTGTAATTTTTTTTTTTTTTCATTTTTTTCGTACCGCGATGATAACCCGGATACTATTATACAGTTTTCTGAATAAAGATTCGAGGACGGCGTAGGTAGTATTAAAGTGTGTTTGCTTTTATAAATACAAACGGGTTTTTTTTTTTTATCTCGTTTTAATGAACAGTATTTAATATCTTTTGACACGTCGTGGTGGCGGTGATACAAAGTTGATTATTATTATTTATCAAAAGTCGAGTATTGCGGCCGGTGTTGACAACGACGACTAGTGAAAACTGTTTTCAGCCCTTTTTACTATTATATATGTATACGTGATAAATCTTGCATTTTTAAACGAATATTATTCACATGACGTGTTTGCTTGCACGTTAATATATAAGTGCGTACAGAGATGCGTCACGATATAATATGTTTGGAGTTTTTTGAGTGGAGGGACTGTACAAACTTTATTATTACCCCGTTCTGAAAACATAATATTATATACCTATGTAAAATGCCTTTGGACACTCCGTACACTTATACAATCTGTATTATACACTGTATAATCATAATTGACTCGAAAAATGTAGACGTCACGTTCGCTACATGAAAATTTCTAGGTAATTAAAAAAAAAAAAATTACTTTTCTTTAATAAAATAAGAATAGTATAGTTTAAAATTATCGAGAACTTGACGAATATTAACACAGAGCATCTAAAAAAAAAACGGAACTGACTTGCGGTTTAAATGAATAATTTGGTTAATAACACATTATTAGTCAATCAAATTTGCACACAGGCCTTGTACTCGTAAGTAATCGAAGTCAATTGCAGTTTATTCTATGTGGTAGTAAAAACATGATTTGCATCTTAACCGTTTTAAAAAAAATCTCGTGGATATTAATAGTGATTCAGGTAATGAAGAAATGTTTTAAGCACTACGCTACAATAGTTAGGTACAAAGACAGAGACAAGAAAAATGATTTTGGATTCGTCCCCGCATTGAGAAATATTGCAACTGACCATCATACATTGCTACTTCGAGAACTCGAAATTTCATATTCCAAACCTGTGTGCTTGTATCGCATTTCTAAAGATATATACTTACAATTGGTGCAATTGAAAATCCCTGTCATATACAAACAGTGAATCAGTGGGTGGTAAGATCAGTTACGGTAGTTGAGTCAGTACTAGAATGAGTACTTAGGTATAGTGACAAGATATAGATTAGTTAATGGTTTACAATATTATTCAAACTATCGACTACTGTAACATGATATGATGATCTATACGGTTTCTAACATTGTCTATATCGTATAATATATATATGTGTCACTGGGAAATATCTAAAAACAATTTTAAATAATTCCATTGCTTATTAATATTATGACGGTAAACGATTTTAATATTACGTTTCCGTTCATTATTTCATTGTGATTTTCAATAACCACATCGCAACCTATATAGATCAATACGTGTAATATTATTTATATTTTAGGTATATTATAATAAATGATAACCAAAATGTTTCCATTTTGTTTCTGTTATACGTTTCAATATTCCACCTTAAAAACGGTTAGGAAATTTAAAATTTCGTATAATAAAGTACTTAAGACGGCGATTTATGAATACTCGAGGAAAAAAACATGTAGAATATAAGCACGGTTATATATTGCATACAAGATTTACGGCTTATGGTATACGAAATGTAACTCAGAGTATGGCAAAAGTGTATATATACATAACCTGTAGTATAGAAAGATAAATAATAATAATAATAATAAAAATAATAAAAATGCTCTCGTTTTATTTCTTAGCAGCACGCGCGTATTAGACGATTAATAAATTATAAAAAGCTCCGACGGTGGCAGCTATATCGACGTGGTGGTCAAGAATTAATTTCAACGGTATACCTAATAAATTGTTTTCACCATGTATATATTATTCATAAAAATAACAATATTATGACTATAACGATTTTTTCGTACTGGAACGAATACCCTACTTGAAACAAGCCATAGGAGTAAATTATATTATCAGATTTGCCAGGTATATTACCCTATTAGTTATCACAAAACTTGACGTTTAAGTTGGCTCAATGATATAACGGATAATGTCTATGTTATCATTATTGTAGGGATCGAATTCTGTGATCATATACCAATTATCTTTTTGTGGTTTACCACCTGTTCAAAAAAAAAAAAAACAGTAGATTTATACTTTAAATACTAATATTCTTGGAGCCATATCCTGATATCGGACCAACAACGAAAAACACTTAACAGAGTAGCATGTTTAGTATTGTTATCATTGAAATCTAGTTATTGATCTATAAATGTCTGGTTAGTAATCAAACAGCCAAAATTAGAGGATTCCATTTTCGATTTTTTCTTGTTTCAAGTTGGGAACATTAATATGCATCCGGGGTAGAGGGTTAAATAAATAATATAAAATATCTGACATATAAGTTTTATAACGCACAAAATAATGAATCGGCAATAATAAACGAATTTGAAAATTCGATCGGATTCAACGTCTATACAGGGTATCTGCAAGATTTTACAGTTTTATCTGAAATTTCATAAAAATGTGTTAAATCCAACAGATACGCCGTATTGACCGCGATGGCGGTATAGAAATACTGGAACAATGATACAATAAAAATAACTTTATTTTTGAAATAAATAAATATTAAATCAACGATTATGTACGATTCTTATCCTTACATATATGAAAACGGTTGTCCTGCTTCATTCAGCTTATTTCTGTCTTGTTATCGTCCCGAATATCATCATAAAACGGAATAAGGTTTTTAAAACTACTAATTAGTCTATGAACAATATTTTTTATATGATTCGATTTTGTTAAATATATTCTTAAATACAAATCACGCGCTATCATTGAACTATTGAAATCCAATGTATTAATTTTTCATCTTATAGCCTGACTTTGGTGTTTAAGACCATATTGTGTAACATCCAGTATGACCACCTCTGGCATTCCCATTATAATGCCAACTCTTTCAAATTTACTCCTGGCATTAATTTTTCTACATATTCTTTAACTCTATCTTTTCATCTTTCTCAATCTGGGGCGACCCAATGAGTACCTCTTCTCTTAAGTTATGCTTTCTAACACAGTTCTCAACATTGATCAATCATTATGCCACGAGTAACTTGCCCAACTGAGTCTTTCACAAAATTCTAACTTTGTTTTTCATGCCATTTAATTATATTAAATATGAGGTATATAAATTATTTACTCACATGTCATATTAAATGACAAGACGGGAAGAATTAATATGAGTCTTATGAGTGGGAATTGTACAGTTTTGTCACACGGTTCGTTAACTCATCCACCGTCGACACATACTATATACATTATAATAATAAATTGTCCTTGAAATTTAACAAACTAACACTTGATCGAGACGAGTCGTCGGATTTTAAAAACAAAGCTCATTCATGAATTATTTTGACGACCGAGAGTCGGTCTTCTGTTACCTACAATTTTGCTTTATAATTTATTTTTTGTGTTCATAGGTTGGCGACAGAGAAAGAAGTCGCTGCGGCCGCGGGACGTGACTGCATCGGGTCGGCGGGTGCATCCGCCGGCATGGGGAGACCACGATCCCATCACCATCATCACCACCATCACCACCAGCAGGTGGACGCGCCCCCTGGGCCGTCGTCCCTGTTCCTGTTCAGCACCGACAATCCTGTCCGTCGATATACCAGGTTCATCATTGAATGGCCATATCCTTTTGAAAGTCTACATTCAAGTTTGATAAAATAAAGAGCTTATATCTAGAATAGTATTATGAAAACATTTTCTAGATCCAATTTTTCTAGGTGAATTTTAGAAACTAATCATAATATTAATTTTGGAAAAATTATCAACTTAGAGTTAAAAGTTTCTTAATATTTTTAATAGCCGAGACAACGTTAGTACGTATATTAGTTATGTAGTTATTGGAAGAGTTGTATACTTATTTTATTGTGAAATTAAGGAAAATAATGTTTAAATCATCTTAACTGTAACAGACAGAATTTAAAACAAATATTCTAAACTAATATAATATCCTCTGATTTTTGTCTTCATTGGTTGTGGCTTCGCAAGTTTTGTATCTTTTTTAATGCAGTTTTTCTACTTTAAGACTTTAAGACTTCGGTCTTCCCAGAAGAATTTTTCCAACTGGATTCTCCTCAATCGCTCTTTTTAACATCAAGCTGAATTTCCAACAGGCACGTCATCTGCATACACCAATCTTCTTTTACCTTTTTTTTCAAAATCAAAATTATCAATTTATCTCAGTGCATGCAAAAAATATCTAATATAATTCTATGAATGTCAATAACAGTATAATATTTATTCTGAACGGTCGGCAGATCGATAGATTAAATATTTTGTTCACCGAAAATATATTTTTCGTAATAAGGTTTTCGATTTTTCTGGAAAATTATTATAATATATAGTCTTTCTTCAGCGTCATTTTCATAACACGCGTTATATTATCGAAGCGATGCGCTGTTTCGAACGGTTTTAGCGGAAAAAATTTGTGGGTTTCACTCCTGCCTGTAGTGTTTATGAGCTCTTTTAAACACACATCGAATTCCATTAAAGGTCAATAATAATTTAACGACGTCATAATACTATATTATAACAATATTATAAAATTCTCTTTCGTAAATTCATACTCCTCGTCGTCGACGGCAGTATCTTTTCGTTTCTAATTGTCATTTTGCGTATGCCATTCCATAAACTTTCGAGTATGTGATAAAAACCCAAAATCCATTTTTAAAATTTTTTTTTTAGTTTAGTTATTAACTTGTTTACACTCCACGTACAATAATATTAGTATTTTAGCCTTAATTCAATTATCTTGCACTCCGTTCGAATATGCGGTGCTGTTAACCATCATAGCCAACTGCGTGGTGTTGGCTCTGGAGGAACATCTGCCCAAGGGAGACAAGACTGTACTTGCTAAGACTTTGGTAAAACATTCGATTATAATAACACTATTGTCGGTGACATCCACTAACGTGATTTTGACGATTTCAGGAGGCAACTGAACTCATTTTCCTAGCAATTTTTTGCGTCGAAGCGACTCTCAAAATATTAGCTTTAGGTTTTTTACTGCACAGCGGCTCATATCTTCGTAATATATGGAACATTATGGACTTTTTTGTAGTTGTAACAGGGTGAGTACACCGTTATTTTATTAAAGCTTTAATATCTTAAATTTATTTTTGATGTACATTGTACTAACAACATAATATATAACATATACTTAAAAAATAGACACGAAATCTAAGAAAAAAAAAAAAATTTACTATATATTTAAGTGTAGACCAAAACGTATATATAAGAAAAACTATTTTAAATCGGCTAGGGATGCGCATTGGACTCAGGGGTTTACCGATTTCTAGGTCAATGACTGAATTCATGGAGTCCAACATGCTGGACATGAGGATGTTGAGGTCCTTTCGGGTGCTCAGGCCTTTGAAACTGGTTTCGAGAATCCCAAGTAAGGCACTCGAAATGTCTCAGGACCACAGGAAAGCATTTTTGAAACAATTAAAAATCCTCGAATGTTCTATTATTTTTCAGTAAAACCATTTGTTTAACCCGTTTTTGTAGGCGTATATTGCATTTGGTTTAGACATTTATTCCGAATATCGGATTAGACTTTAACCGTTGGTTTGCGAACTTTTATATATATATATATTTTACATATATATAAATATATACATAATATATTATTCTTTTGGACTTTTTGCTGGATGATAGAAATTCCCGAGTAGAACTATATATATATAATAATAATTATTATTATACCGTTGATATAATACAGTTGGTCGATATATATATTTTGTAGTTGGATTATTAATATAATATATATAATATACTTATAATATTATTCGGCTTGATTCGAACGAACTTATAACAGTATTCATAATATATATATATAATATACATCATTTAGCTCCGATAAGGCGTATTAGAGAACTAGATAGAAACAAAACGGGTCTTTATATATATATATATTTTTTTTTTTAGAAATCTGCACGACTAGAGCGAGTCGACGGTAAAATAATCTATTATATCATTAATGTATATACATATATATATATATATATATATATATATACATATATACACATATTTAATCAACACTCGTAAAAATAATATACAATATATATTATATATTGACCGTAGATTATTAATACTTTGAGTCGTATATTTTATTAATTTATTTTTTTATTTTTTTGAATATATATATATAATATATTTACCTATCGTATTTTCTATATATACCTATATTGTTATACTATTACCGCTATATGAGAACATATATTACATAAATAATAATATTATTACAATAAAAAAATTAGGAATATTATTTTATTATTCTTTTTTTTTTTTATATATATATACAATACCTAGTGGACGATAACGTTTTTTTTTTTTTTTTGGCGAACCGTAGTCTTGTCTATATTATAATTTTTTAACTAATAATAATATAATAGTGGCAGTTATATATATATGTATAAATATATACGAGATATTATGCATCATAGGCCGAAAAACCATTGTAGGACGTTGCGTACCCAACACACACGGGGACTAAGAAAACGCGGGAGTGTAATAATTATTGTATCGTGTGTCGTTTTTGCTGTCGTTGTTGTTGTCGTTATTTTGTTGTTGAAACCGCTGGCATAATACAATATATATACTCGAACTCGTAATAATATAATATTATCTAACCCCGGTCCTATCTTATCCCGTTTTGTTTTGTTTTGTTATTTATTTATTTATTTATTTTTTTTTCCAATAGTACTTACACACACACACACACACACATACACACACACACACACACACACACATACACACACACATTAATATAATATATATTATATATTTATAATATATATATATATATATAAGTATACCGACATTAATTTTTGCTCTGATTATTTAAACGTAATATTTATATACATAGGTATTATTATGATCTTGTATTTTCGATCCGTAGATGATTCCGTTTTGTTTTTATTATTATTATTATTATTACTATCTATATATTTAGTTTAAACACATATAATATATTTATATATATATATATATATATAAATATGTATACAATGTGATCCGTTTATCGTGAACAATTTTTTTTTCCCCGATCATTTTCGAGCCATTTAAGCTTTAATTGAACATTATGTTTTCATTTTTCATATTCAATTTTACACCATCAAATATTAATCCTCTTCCTATTCTCAACACGGATTAGCGTAGAGAATATTTTTCTAATACATTTCTAATACGTAACACCGTGTTTTTTTTTTTTTTTTTTAGTTTACGAATAATATCAGTAAAAAGTTTAAACTTGCGAAACAGGGAAGGCTTTCATAATCGTCAAAACTATTTTTCGATATTTAAACCGATAATTTGTCTGTTGAACGATTCCATAACTATTTAGAAATACGAAAAACAGAAATCAAATTCGATAAAGGCCCTCCGAGAAATTCGCTGGTTCATAATAAATGGATCATTCTGTATATATATATATATAATACAATGTTATTATTATTATTATTATTATATGTGTTATGTTAGATACCTATTCGATTATTTTTTAATTTTATTTTTTATTATTATTCCGTATTCGGGACCATCGCGCACCACCCATCAAATTCTGAAATAGATATAATATAATTATATATATTATTCATATATATTATATATTATATACATATATACATATATATAAATATGTATATATATATATATATATATATATATTATTACTCGTATATTATTATTATTATTATTCATATTATTGTTATTATTATTGTTATTATTATTATTGATATTATTGATATTATTGATATTATTATTCGTTATTCGGTATTATTGTTATTATTATTATTATTATTATTACTATTGGTATTATTATTCGTTATTCGTTATTCGTTATTCGTTATTATTACATATATAGACACGTCCAGATACATATTATTATTATTGTTTATTATCTAAATATATATATAATATATATTATATTATATATATGCGTATATTATCTACATACATAATTATTAAATAATACTAGACGCATAGAACTAGATGAATAGAACGGATTGCGTGTTTATTTTGGGGTAGGTAGCGCACCGAGTAGTGATTAGAAGTGTTGTTGCCACAGATGTATAACACAAATACCGTCATCGGGAAACATGGATCTGCGAACGCTGCGAGCGATCCGAGTGTTAAGGCCGCTCAAATTGGTCTCCGGCATTCCAAGTGAGTACACACGCCGCACGCGGGATACGAGTGCGGGCTGGCCGGCGACGGCGGCAGCGGTGGAGGCGGCGGTGGGGGTGGGGGGTTCAGGACCGAAACCCCCCGCCCCGGTCCCCTCCCCCGAAAACCGGGACGAGGGTAACAGGGACGCTGAGTGAGAGATATGATGATGATGATGATGATGTGATGACGGAGAAAAAAAAATTAGAGTGGAAATAAAAGCAAAACGCTCAATGCCAATTTACCGGTAAAATATGACCAATACGTCGCGACAACATGATAACCCGACATATCTCATGCGGAATATTCTGTTGTCGTTCGCGGAAATTGGACATACTATAATATAGAACGGTCGCCTTCCTCATTCGCCGTGTGTAATCCTCCGGTTTTTTTTTTTTTTTTTTTTTTTTTTACCGCTCCGTAGGTTTGCAAGTCGTGCTGAAGTCCATTATCAAGGCCATGGCACCGCTGCTCCAGATCGGCTTGTTGGTGTTGTTCGCCATCATCATATTCGCCATCATCGGACTGGAGTTTTACTCTGGAGCGTTGCACAAAACGTGCTACAAGTGCGTACATACCTAACCGTGTTACGAATACTTCCGCGTGGGTTTCGAAGGTTGTAAGGGGAGACGTAGCGAGGTCACCGAATATTCGGATATTCCACTCCGTCATGCAACTTTCCGAACTTATATTAACCAAATAATTCACTCATAACTGTTATTATTCTTACTAAAAACATTTACAGTGATTTAAGAATATCTGCGTGTTAAATGTTTTGAAGTTTTTCTTATATATTGAAAATTGTAACGAGCTGATAAACAATATTGCCGATTATAAAAAAAAAAAAAAAACAAGTCGTAAATGCCACCGGTATAGGGAGTGCTCAGGATGCAAAAGCGGCGCATATCCCATCATAAACGAGATGGGTCCCGGACCCTAGTGGTTTTGGTGGGTAGTACACTGGCTGGGTCCTAATAAATTGTAGGTCCAAATGTTATAATATATCTCATGTTTACAGAATTAGGACTCTGAATCTATTTTTCCAGTGATTTTTTTGTAATATGTTTATCCTTTATACATTTATATTTTCGTAAAGTAAAATCCCTTTGGTCTTTTTCTTCCTGATATTTTCACTTTAATGTAAGTGTCTATTCAGGTAATTTTTAAAACCTTTATAAACTGATAGATATTATGATGTATATTTTTTGTTCTATTTTTCTAAACTTCCAAACTAATATCATTATTATTAATGTTGTGGTACTAGTCGACTATTACTACCCACGGAAACCCGAGACCCAACTAGTGTAATTTAAAAAAAAAAAATTAAAAACATCATATATAAAAAAAAAAAAATGCAAATTTAGCCACAAGATAGAAATAGTTCCTATGCAACATGTTCTACTAAAGCAATCGATTTTCGAATTATAGGTTAGACAATTTGAAGGTGATGGATATCGAGGGATCGTCTCCGGCACCTTGCAATTCGGACTCCGACTCGGACGAAAGTACGAAACCTTACAACGCGTACTTTTGTAAAAACGAATCGTCCACGTGCATAGAGGCCTGGGAAGGTCCCAATTATGGGATAACGTCGTTCGATAACATCGGACTAGCCATGCTCACCGTTTTCCAATGCATCACGATGGAAGGGTGGACTACCATTCTGTATTGGGTGGGTTGAGCGTCGCTTTAAAAAAAAAAAAAAAAAAAATGTTCAGAATGAATTAATATAAAATAATTTTTCGTTTTGCTATTTCAGATGAACGATGCGTACGGCGTCCTATTCAATTGGATATATTTTGTACCACTTATTATTCTAGGTTCATTTTTTATGCTCAATTTAGTTCTCGGTGTGCTTAGCGGGTGAGTTTCATTTTTATCCCATGCATATTATAGGTGTTATTATAATTCATGATAATCATTGTCCGATGCCGTTAATATTTGACGTGGGGAAAGGGGACGGGAGAATCCGCGACCGAAAGTTATTATCTTTATTAAGAGTTATCAAAAAAAAAAAAAATTAAGGTATATCTATTTTTATACGCTTTACAGAGAGTTCTCAAACGAGAGAACCCGCGTAGAGCGCCAGTCTAATTATTACAAGATGCGTACGAAAAAAATGTACATCGATACGTTTAATACTTATATTAACTGGATTACGACCGCAGGTATAACGCAATTTTACCGCGCGTAATATTATTTTGAATGTAAAATATAAATACCTTGTGTACGTATACCTATATGTATAATTTATTGTAAACATATTGAATATCATAATCTATGTAGGTATTGTGTACACGATAAAAATAACATATTATATACCGGGTGAACCTACGGGATTTAACTGTTTCCTATGCCATTGCACGGGGAATTTTGAAATCGTGCGTACACAACGCCTTGTATATTATTTGTTAGTTCCCAAGTATTTTAAATTATAAAATTGTATTACTGTATCACCGTCATCGTTCCCGTATATACATAATAATATACGCATATTTGAAATATATTTTAAAATATTAATAATACCTGTCCAAACAGTGGTGTATTTGCAGGGGTAGATGAATTTATTACCTCCCGGTGTTTTTTTTTTTTAAGATTTTGGTTCTTACAATCATATAGATTAAAAAAGTATCTCCTTCTATTAGAAGTTATATGTTTTAACATCATTATATACAAACTAATCAAGACGATTTAATATTACGGGTTTATGGATATCTTCTGAAAAAAGTGTACAGAAATGCGATTGTTAAGATACTTATATCCACTTTAATTGATGTGATAATATAAAATTGTGCCGTATAGAACTATAAGTACCTATGAAAGCTATATTTAGTTACCTTTACTCGGTGGATAATAATTATGTTTGGAGGACAAATCGTAAATAAAAGAAAGCAAATACGGGCTGGGGTACGACGCCTCGTTTTTTTTTCGGTCTTCAGGCTCAGATTAAAATCGTATAAATGCGCCACTGTATCCGAAGCACCTGTAAATTTGTGATTGTCGTCGTTGTCATATTATTTTATTGTTATTATTATAATTAGATATTAGTTTACCTATACCCATAAATGTAATGTCGAACCTTGTAGAGAATTCGCTAAAGAAAGAGAAAAAGTCGAAAACCGGCAAACGTTCTTGAAGCTACGGCGACAGCAACAGCTCGAACGCGAGCTCAACGGTTACGTAGACTGGATATGCAAAGCCGGTAAGTCGGCTTATAATAATATTATTTTTGCTCCCACAGCACTCGTAGACGTAAACAAAATATTTATTATCATGAAAACGTGACGCATTTTAAAGAACAAAAATGTGTGTGAATATATATAGGGTGATCAACTTACCATGAACCAGCGATTTTCTCGAAAGATTTAAAGTTAATTTGAGTTCTTTTTAATAACTATAAAACCGTTTAAGTTTTATTTTAACATAATTTTTAATTTTTACCCCATACTCATTATATTTGAAATGGTTATACTTTAGATTTACCATTCTTTTGAATACAGTTTAAAATAGATTCCAGTGTTCTACAAATTATTATCGACATAAAAAAAGATATCGTATTTAGCATTTATAAATGACAACAGTTTAAAATTTAGACCAGAAGAATAGTGAAGAATAACCCTGCCCTACTCCTCTGGACTAAACTTAAAATTGATATGACACACTCATGAAAGGTAATAAGCGATATTAGTGGTATGCCTAACAACATTTTTAGACAAATATCCTCTAATTTAATCTGTTTTCAAAAAAAATATTGTTATTTAAAAATTCATTGTGTATACTTATTTCAGGTATAAGAAGTAGGGTTAAAAATTAAAAATATTATTAAAGCCTTAACAGTTTCATAATTATTTATAAAAAAAACTTACATCAATTTCACTTAAAACCATTAAAGAAAATCGCTAATTCGTGATAAATTGATCACATTTACATTTATATTTATTTATACGTTTTTTTTCTTCGTCTGTAGAGGAAGTGATCCTTGCCGAAGAACGGACGACGGACGAAGAAAGGAGACATATTATCGAAGGTACCTATCTATAATTGTTATACTAATCATAAACGTTAAAACAACAATGGCACAAATATGTTTGTGTATTGTGTTTATGATATTTTGCAGCGAGAAGAAGAGCCGAAGTAAAAAAAAAAAAACTGAAAACCTTGGGCAAGAGCAAAAGCACGGAGTCCGAAGAAGAGTGTGAGGAAGAAGAAGCTGATGAAGGTAAACGATATTGTTATTTTACCCAGGCGCGTAACATAAAAAAAAACCCCCCATGGGGGTTTTAAGCTTTTTAAGGTTAAACTACTTACGTTTCGTTAGTATAAAAAAATATACCTAAACATTTTTCTGTCATTTCGGGAGAGAAGGGGAGGATTGAATCTCCACTTCCCTCTTGTGTACGCATCTGATTCTACACGATCTTATTTATAATATATTCCATGGATTCCGGGAGTAATTAATAATTACATTTATAAGAATACAGCCCTGTGCTTTTATTTAATTTTAATAATCATAATATGTCATCGTTGACTAATATGTTCTATATTTAACAACCATATTTATATAAATGTATAAAAATATTGTTAAAACTTTATCGAAGTATAATGTTATATGTTTCAGTGCTTGGTAAAGGCAAAAAAGGTACAGTTTTATTGTTTTGTTTCGTTTTGTTTTGTTTAGTTTTTTTTTTTTTGTTTTTGTTTTTGTTTTACGTAAGAGGATATTATAATATACGTATACGTAATATAATATACGAGTATTTAGCGTGAGTTTTGCCTAGAACGTTTTTTGAAACGGGTGATGGGGGCGTAGGTATTGTTTAGAAACACCCTGGATTTGTAAACTATGATGAAAGAGACCTGCATATTATAATATAATATATAATACATTATATAGGTACATATTTTGCATGTTTAAGGTGTGTGTGCGCGTACCTATATTATAATATCATAAGTGTGGGCTGCGGTTAGTAATTTAGATAAATTATTACATATAGGTAATTATTATTGTTACAGTAGTTATTAGATATAAATCAAAAAAAAAAACTTGTGTACATATATAATACGAATTTTGTAGACAAAAAATAAAAATACACACCGTTTGAAAAACAAAATATGTATATAATAATATATTGTTATTCAGTGTTGCTGATATTTTCACAGTGGCGATTATATATGAACAAAATATTATATTATGATTGTGTGATCACGGTTTAATTATACTCGCAATTCGCATCGTCTATTATTATAATTATATAAATATATTATCATATATATTTGAATAATCATATTTAAACAGAGGACGTCACGGTATCATGTTGCCGATTCTGTCTTTCTAACGTAAAATAATATAATGATACCTAATGGTACACCCATTATTCTTGGTTCTAACAAAAATCGAAACATAAATTATTTTACCTCATAGATAATCCATGGTACATAGAGTATGAGCGTGAAGGAAAAGGAAAAGATTAAATGAGGTCGACGAGACAAGAGGAGTATAATGACAATAAACGGTGATGTAAAAAGCGAGGTTAAGAGTTGTAAATACCTATCTAGGATCTTTTGTACAAACTAACGGTGGTTTTAACGAGGATGTGAAACATGGGATTAAGTGTGGTTAGATCCAGTGGAGAGAAGCGTTAGGTGTTTTATGTGACGAGAGAATTTCAATGAGACTTGAAGGTAAGTTCTACAATAGTGTGACGAGACCGACTATGTTGTATGGCTCGAAATGTTTGATGAAATAGAGAAAACAGAACAGAGACTGAATAGGTATAGCAGAAATAAGAATGATTATAATAAGTGGATAAATGGATTGATGATAGAAGATAGGACAAGAAACGAGTACATTATAGGTAGCATAGACATGGACAAATAGGCTTCGATAAAATCAGAAATACACTGAAACAACTAAAACACGTGATGAACATAGAAAAATCGGAATTAGTAAGAATAGTAAAGAAAATAGATGGACAATCAGCTATTAGTACAAAACATTTGGACCATTGTTACAATTATAGTACTTTTTAGTAACGAAAATAAAAAAAAAATACTCTATGCAAAAACCCAATAAATAATAATATGTTATCTTTAAATTAGTGAACACATGTTTTGTTTTAAGTATATATTATAAAGGTGCTAGAGAATCATTGAAATTCCAAAAACATCTTTTTGTTTTATTATGGCCCTGTATGAAAGAAATTGGCGGTAAACGTGTTACTGTGACATCCTGTTAAAATCGTATACGCGATCATATTATAGACACATTATTTAGCGATAAAAATATAAAAGAAGTGTGGTTCGTGCGACAAAAACAATTAATGCACCGCTTTCTCTCGAACATAATAACCTGTCGATTGGTGTTTTATAATATTTAGGTATATAATAATAATAATAACATATGATGGAGTTTATCGATAGACAGAATAAGTATAGCCTTGCATTATTATAGCCTTTGCGTACAACTATATAGAATAACGTATTTACGTGTTTGCATATCCACAGGTTTTCCTCGCACGCCAACGTTCAAAGACCGAATGCGGAAAAAGGGCGTCTGCGCTTCCATGTGGAGGGCCGAAAAAAGGTTTAGGTTTTGGATTAGACGCATGGTAAAAGCGCAATGGTTCTATTGGTTCGTCATTGTGCTAGTGTTTTTAAATACGGTGTTCGTAGCCATCGAACATCACAATCAACCGAAATACATAACGGATTTTGTCTGTAAGATATTGTTACAATTATTATTTAAATTTCACAATATTTATTGGTTTTCTTTTTCTTTTCTTTTTTGAACATCTCTCTATAAAGTATAATTATCAATCTGCAGATTGGTTTGCAGCCCTCCTCCGTTATTCTCCATAACATCCGCTTTTATTTTTATCTGTATATACGATATGCATCCTCGGTCCTTTGTTATTTCATTGAATGTATATTCCTTAATAGGTCTTCCTTCTTTCACGCTCCATTTAACAATCAATTTTAGCAAGCTCTCGTGTTATACTACATATCCACCGGTCCCGTCGTCTATGTATAAACTTTTCCATAAGATATAATATCACTATTTGGTATTAAAAGTTAAAAATTAATATTTTTTTTTCCCCTCGAACAGTTGTGACGGAATTCGTTTTCCTCGGGCTCTTCATGGCCGAAATGTTCATCAAGATGTACGCGCTCGGTGTACGGATATATTTCGATTCCGCGTTTAACCGATTCGATTGTGTGGTCATCATGGGTTCCATATTCGAAGTCATATGGTCACATATCAATAAAGGCGGTTCCTTCGGGTTGTCCGTACTGAGAGCCCTGCGGTTATTGAGGATATTCAAAGTGACGAAGTAAATGCCGTTATAACAATTCGCATCTAAAAACGATATTATATTATTAATATATATGTATATTCATATATTTATCTGTATTTATAAAATTGTACTTTCATTATTATCTATATTCTTTAGATATTGGTCTTCGTTGCGAAACCTCGTAATATCGTTACTCAACTCGATGAGATCGATTATATCGTTACTTTTCCTATTGTTCTTGTTCATACTGATATTCGCTCTGCTCGGTATGCAGTTGTTTGGCGGTCAGTTCAATTTCGAAGATGGAACGCCACCCACCAACTTTAACACATTTCCAATAGCTCTACTGACTGTATTTCAGGTAGGCTGGTAGTGATTATCCTTGCAAATGTATTCCCAGACAGAAACATCGAAAAATATAATACTTCTATAATGCTATATCTAGGTTTAATTCAAAATATATTATTTAAATTTTTTAATAACTCTAAATTTAACTTGAATTTTATATTTAAAATCCAGATAATCAGATAATTAACTGCTACAAAAAATTCCGTTTAAATTTCAGTAATATTTTTTGAACTGAAATATTTCTGGAACATTATACATTAAGTCAAAAGTGTTTCTAGAAAATTTCAGTAAACTTAATTTGCTGTCTGGGTTAATTTATAGACTACTCATATACTTGGATAAGAATAATCACTCACATTTTTGATATTACACGTAATAATGCCGTTATTCGTACATACGTAGATTTTAACCGGCGAAGATTGGAACGAAGTAATGTACCAAGGCATTCGGAGTCAGTCGAAGGCTCAGGGCGGGGGCATGGTATACGCGTTGTATTTTATTGTCTTAGTGCTGTTTGGTAACTATACGCTCTTAAATGTGTTTTTGGCTATTGCCGTCGATAATTTGGCGAACGCGCAAGAATTGACGGCTGCCGAGGAAGAACAAGAAGAGGAAGACAAAGAGGTAAGCGTCATCGAAAAAATTATGCCCATATAGGTATATCATACCTATATAATATCCCACTGTTTTTGACACCGATGTTCTGGGTAAATTGTAAGTATATGTATATAGAAACAGCAACAAGAGCTTGAAAAAGAAATGGAAGCGCTGCAAATGAATACGGATGCATCAAAAATCGATATAATACCAACGTCACCGTCGCAAAACTCCAGGTAAAAATTTTTATAATCATGTTCACGTGTGTTTTTGATATTAATTTATGAAATAATTCGAAGTGTTTCGCTTATCAGACATCACCGAAAACACCATATGGACGAGCCCGAAAGCAAAGCAGAGGAAGAAGAAGAAGACGAAGGCCCAAAACCAATGTTACCGTATTCGTCGATGTTTTTGTTGACGCCTACCAACGGGTAACACAATTATAATTATTAAAATTATATATTAGCTATATTCTGTAGAACAATGGTCGTTAAATTAATACGAATCAAAAATATTATATCCTTACATATTTGTTCTATTTGAATATTATATTAATGTTATGTTTTCATTCCCCCCCTCTCGGTAAAACAGTATTAGAAGAGGCGCTCATTGGATTGTGAACCTACGGTATTTCGATTTTTTTATTATGCTTATTATAATATTAAGCAGCGTGGCATTAGCGGCCGAAGATCCAATTAACGACGTTTCAGATTGGAATGATTACCTAGACGTAGTCGACAACGTTTTCACTGTGATATTCGCCATAGAAATGATATTAAAGGTAAAACCACGAGATCAACGTCGAATAATTTATAAACGTACAACTATAACTAAACTATATAATCGTTTTCACGTGTATTATATACCTATAGGTCATCGATCTAGGAGTAATTTTACATCCCGGTTCGTATCTTCGAGAATTTTGGAATATAATGGACGCGGTGGTCGTTATTTGTGCGTTCGCGTCATTTATATTTCAATCGAAAAAGTAATTCATTTATAAAATATTTCAATTGTGATCAAACAATTTATCGTCATTATTACAATAATATGGTTTTGACGTTTTAGCAACTCAGCAGTCGGCTCAAATCTGTCGACAATTAAGTCACTCCGAGTGCTGAGAGTACTGCGACCGTTAAAGACCATCAAACGCGTACCTAAGCTCAAAGCGGTTTTCGATTGTGTAGTAAATTCGTTAAAAAACGTCATCAATATATTAATAGTGTACATATTGTTCCATTTCATATTTGCCGTCATCGCCGTGCAATTGTTCCACGGGAAGTTTTTCTTCTGTAACGACAGCAGCAAGTCGGAAAACAAAACTTGCCAGTGAGTAAAACACGCATTGTGTGCCTGTAATATTAATACATTTTCAATATTGTACTGTAACTTGCTCGACCGGTCTGTTTAGGGGTTTTTATTTCAAATATGACGGCGAAGATACGGAAGACGTGAATTCGCAAAAGTTCATACCGGGTGTCGAAAAAAGGGTATGGGATCAACAGGAGTTTTACTACGATAACGTGGCCGTGGCCATGCTAACGTTGTTCGCGGTACAAACGGGAGAAGGATGGCCTCAGTGCGTTTAAATATTACTTATATTTATTTAATCGATAAACGATTTTATTTCTCTATATTTCACCATTATTGTTGTCATTTATTTTTTTTTTTTTTCAAACAGAGTGTTACAAAATTCAATAGCGGCTACAAACGAAGACAAAGGACCCATACCGAATTACCATATTGAGAGATCGCTATTTTATATTATATATTTCATTGTGTTTCCGTTTTTCTTCGTCAACATATTTGTTGCGTTGATAATTATCACGTTTCAAGAACAAGGCGAAGCCGAACTGCAAGACGGTGAAATAGATAAAAATCAGGTATATAATATTATATTATATGGTAACTTAAAGACTTTAGAGGAATATCATCTTCTACGTTGTTGTCAGTAATGAAAACTTATTATTATACATTTCGCGTGCAAATAATATGTAAAATACGCATTAAATATGAAACGAAATTAACGCGTTTCGTTTTAATAAATAATAATAATAATAACTAAAAATAATGTGTTTGTGTGCATAACAAAATGGTTTACACGTATTTTTTTTTTTAAAATACGAAAGATACAGAGAAAAAAAAACAGCATAGATTTAGATTTTAATAACTTTGTATGATACTAATATGCTTGAGGTAAAGAAACAGAAAAATGTAATAGGTATTTAAATTTGTCTGCGTATTAACCACCGAAATATTCGTTTGGTTTTAAATAAATTGTTGACGAATGTTCATTCCAGAAATCTTGTATCGATTTCACCATACAAGCAAGACCGCTAGAGAGGTACATGCCCAAAGACCGAAACAGCATAAAATACAAAATATGGCGGCTGGTAGTGTCGACGCCGTTTGAATATTTCATCATGATACTGATCGTTCTGAACACTCTGTTACTCATGATGAAGGTGAGTTTATTGGGTATAATATAAAATTTTACCTATGTATTAAAATATAGTGACTCACAGCGATTTAAATTATGTTCTATACACAATCATTAATAACATTATAATTATATAGCAACAAAGTGGTTCAGTATTGCACTATCGTAGGTACCTCAGTTGTGTTTATTATAACAGTTGGCGCGATTCGAGCTCGGGACGGTAGAGCGCATTACCGGTATAATAATAAATTATAATAAATAATAATAATAAGTAATAATAAGTTCCGTCTAATTTTCAAAAAGAAATCCACAATTTACTCCCCCCCCCACCCCTCAATCGTCAACCTTGAATTGTGCCGATCTATTGTATAATACATTACACGTATGACCAATAACAATACTATGATGTTGCTATACCGATCGTTACGGTTATGAAGTGCTTGCATAGAAACAAAATATTTCATCAACACTAATGTTTCACCTTTTAAAAACTACGCGAAAAATACCGGTTTTTCACCAAATTTTATTCCCGCCATTGACATAACATCATATATTATATTAAATACTGTATTTAATATTGCATAGTAATACAATAAAAAAAAACATCAATTTGTATACAGGTGATAATTATTTTACGTACTCGGACTCGTTAAAGGTTACCCATTGCGATAAATCCGTAATATTTTTGTTCGATAAAATTTCCCCGAAATTATATTATACCTATGAGGTTACTGTTTTTACTTTTATTTTATTTTTTTTTTTATTAAACTCTTATAATATTTTGATTGCATGCAATTTGCTTAAGCTGACTCACTCCCATTTTGCTGTGGATATCACACACACGATGATTTTTTTTCTTCAAGTTGCTTATATACTTCTCTCTATCTCTTGTTCCGCATAACTTTTGCTTTTATAACGTCTATAATAAAATTGATTGTATTATATGATTAATCAACTTTGGCAAAAAAAAAAAAAACACCACTGCCTTCATATTGTATGTAATGTGTTATATATTTCTTTGCATTAAATCATTAAATCAGCCGATAGAAATAATATTTTGAAGTACGGATTTCTTTATGAAAAATAAACCCATGTGTTTATTCAAAGAAAAAAATCTATTTTTACATTTTGATGCATATTTCGATAATAATATTTTTACAAACAGCAAATTTTCGTATATTTTACTGATACTTGTATAGAATATTATAAGTACGTATTGTATTTTACACTTTTAAGAAGATATTAAAATTACCGTATTTTGGCTATTTCAAGAAAATTTAAATTTGAACTCTAATATTACAATATTATAGTTATAGATGCGAAGTTAGGAATATGTTAGTTTTACAATGATACATTGTTTTTTTTTCTGTGACAAAAATGTCTACCATAAATTTTTCTTCGATGTAGCACCTTTTATGAAAGAAAATTTTATCTGAGTGGTATATTATAAATATTGTTAATTGTTTGATTTTTCAAAGAGTTTTCATAATAATTAGGAAAAAACATAGGCAAAAAGGGAAAATTAACGAAATGTATTATTTAATTTTTTTTTTTTTATTATTATTATTATTAAAATTTGTAGATACTTGAAATTAAGACAAAAATCTTATATTTACCTTTACTATTTGTGGTTAAATTTTCAAAATATTTTAGCCATTTTTAAGATAGTTAAAGATATTTTAGTTTTGCGAGTTTTTTACGTAAGTTTTATTCTCTACTCTTTTAATAATATTGTTAAACCAAACAGAAATGCATGAAAATGTAACAAAAGATTCATTTTAAGTCGCACTTTGTGGTAAAAATATGAGTTTTTTTATATACGAGTTTTAATATTAAATTATGATAAAAATTGTAAATATTACGTCCTTTCAAACTGAACTTTGCTCAGAATCTTTTTTCGTTAGCAATGATTAATCTTGCATTCTAATTTAATTTAAATTCATCTCTATTACCTTACCAACTTCTAATTTACAACGTGATCGCCCATCGTGCGAACTATGTCCGTCTTTTTTATAGTTCAAATTACTAAACTATATTGTTATAATTAATTCAAAATTATCATTATCACGTATTCACTGAAAAAAAATTCAAACCCATTTTGATTAAAATAACGGTTAACTTATTTTTTTTATCGTTTTTTTTTTTTCGTAAAAATATATCTAATAATTAATTAAATTAACGAGTACGAATTTATAAACTGAAAGAACGATGCAATTTAATTTTTATTTTTCTTCTAACTTGTGTAAAATAGTCGCTGCATTCAATCATTTATTTGGTAGGTGACAATATGATAAGATTTTACTGTAAAACCATGTTCAATTGTTTTTTTTTTTCTATTTTGTTTGCTTTCAAAAATTGTTCTTCTCTCTTTTTTTTATACTATTATAATGGTTGATCAATGTTTTTTTTTTTTTTTTTTTTTATTATTCGTTTTATAGTTTTATCAACAAAAAAAATACTACAAGACTGCTCTACATTACATGAACATGGCGTTTACTGGCATGTTTACCATTGAGTGCGTGCTCAAAATTTTGGCGTTCGGAATCAGGGTAAGAAATTACGTAACACATACTCATGTAGTTATCATAATTATTGTTATTCACTTGACAATTATAATATATTATTAATGTTTAGAATTAAAATATAATTTCCCAATATCATAATAATGAAACATTTCTTAATCGTTTTTTAACCGTTGTATTTCCCCGTACAGCCCACCATGTTCGTTTTCCGAATGTTATTCTATAATTTCAAAATCATATAGCATCTCCTGACTTATATCTAATGTACCAATCCTTACCTACAATCATTCAGAAATTTCATCGCGTGCTTTCCATTGATTTTTTTTTTCCACTTAATAAATTATACCAATTTAATATTTATCACTTTACTCGGTCGAAAAAAAATATTTTCGATAAATGCAGCCACTGCAGTAGTTATTATTGCCGAATCGGATATGTCCTAATCTATAACAGAAGGTAAGTGATAACTATTACGAGCCAACAACGTGAGTTTTATAGACACATGCTACATATATTATTCTTATTGCTTTAACGTATCGATCTTTAATTTTCTGTTATTAAACCGAGCATGCCGATTATATTGATAGTACATTATGTGTGTGTGCGTGAATTTTATAAATAATTATACCTATTATACTCGATACCTCATAACGTCCGCTTGTGTCTTATTGCGTTTCATATCTATTTTATATAATTTTTGGCATGTTACAAATTTGTTCTTATTATTTTATTATTTACAACTAATATTTCAATTTTAAAGGAAAACAATTCTGGGCGCGCGTTAGTACCTACCACGGATTAAGATTAAGACAGTATACGGAACCATGGCTACCATCGTTATAAATTCAGTTTTAACGCAGAAAACGAATATTATTTTTAGTGTCACACTGACACGTCAGTATCAAATTAGACAACTAGCGCCCGCATGGCTCATTATTTTTCAGATAGTCAACCGTAGGATTATATGTTCAAACTATACCTAATGATATGTACTGTTCAATATGTTGAGCTGAGTAAGGAATGTATTGGTTTTACTAATCATGAGTGCACATTTTTTTCCACAGAGCTATTTATTGGAATTTTACATCTCCAAGTTTTTTCGTTTTTGTTTGGTTCTATGTGAATTAAAAATTGGTGAGCAGAATTGTTTGAAAATTTTTCATGATATACGTTATAAGATATTTATCATTAGTTTTTTTTTTTCATAAGCATTTCGAATTAATATTTTGATGAAAATCGTACAAATTAAGGCATTTCAAAACATGTCTAACCGGTACTCGCTCAGAAACGTATTACTTCTGCTACGATATTCCGTTATTTACGGATTTAAATTAAACAACGTTGAGCATCCTATACTCCCGCCTTCTCATTTATAATAGTGGCACACCTTTTAGCAGTACAAACTCGTGGGTTTGGTGTTTAAATATGTAATTATGAATAAAATAAATGCATATATTTGGCATAGCTTTCAAAGGCGGAACTCCAAATATAATAACTTTGCACAATATGGTAACATTTTTTAGTACAAAACAGACTACCGTCACTATTGAGCGTTAGGAGTCTAATTTGATAATCGTATATAAAGGTTGCGTTAAAAACGTTTGTCATTGAGTGAGAAATAGCGGCCGTTCCGTATTCTGTGTACCCTGCTATCTTAATTCGTCATACTTATATTTGTGTCCTGTTATCAAAACTGATCTATAATTATATTATAATGTCACGCTATACATATTTTCGCCCAACCGAATACCTATAAATAATTAATGTCGAAACACATATTTTAATAACATAACCAATTACACGGTACCGTTATATAATAAAACTATATTATGTATACTAAAAAAAAATGAATAAATAATAGTATATATTATTGTTATTATTTATTTAGAATCGTTAGATTTGGATTGATTTATATCCGAATTTCGTCTTTGCGATTAATAATTTATTTTTATTTTTCATATTTCACGGCAAAAAGACGTTACGTAGGTTTTTTTTTTTTTAATTGCTTTTACCGAACTAAACCTAAAGCCGACTATACACTGTGGATTTTGAATGACAATCTATGACATTAACAGTCAAAACTGATAGTATATAATTCATAAATATGACAACGGTTGACGATTAAATGTTTTGATTGATTTTTTTTTTATTTGTATTCAAATGCACATTGGCATTTACGAGCGATAGAGTATATTGTAATCGATTGTCAACTCATCGATCAAAAAAAGTATACGTTACTGATAAACGTAAATAATAGGCTTAGCCCTCATATCATACGAAATGCATAGTGTACGTATGACCGGCTTTACAAAGACGAAACCAATGTACACAAATATTATTAGATATTATTTGGTTTTTTTTTTTTTTTTTTTCAGAATTTTATTATATTATTATTATTATATTAGTGGTATTAGTCGTTAAATAAACACAAAATCAAAACTATAATACTATTGAACATCGAAGTCATTAAATTAGTTGCCTGTGTAATATATTTACATATCATATTATATATATATACATTTTTATTTTTATTATTAAAACGTTGCTTTTATATTTTGGTTTTTTAACAAAAATATATATTCCCGTGGGTGCAGCACCATCGCGAATCGTATCTACTTAACAGTACTCTTCTGAATCTCAATCATTTATTGACGCTGCTATTCCTGGTAGAATGTGTCTTAAAACTCATCGCGTTCGGATGCAAGGTAACATAGTTATACAATATTATATTCACTTAATAATAATAATTTTATTATGTGTACAATATACATTTAAAATATTTCTCAACAGTTTTTGTATTTTTTTGACTTGTGAATATCCTTCTAAACATTAATGTTGTGTACTTATTATATTCAGTGCATACACAGCCGATGGAAAGCATGCATGTTCAACAAACACCTACATAATATATACAAATAATTATAATTAAAATTTTTGATTATTTTTAAACGTGTTTCTAATCATATTTTACGTTTTCTGATATTTTTTATGTCACGAAAATGGTTTTGCAGAATTTTTTTAAAGACCCGTGGAATATCTTCGACTTTATCACGGTGATCGGAAGTATCGTGGACGCTTTGGTCATCGAATTCGGGGTAAGATAGTATACCGTACATAATTAAACCGTATACAAAGTATATGAAGTTGTTTTACAATAATATACATATTCGTATATTATTTTGGCAACCTCGTTATATTTCTCCCATAGATATAATATATATATATATATATATATGTATACATTCATGATAATTATTAAGCTATGTGTTTGCGAGTGTGTTCGTCTATAATATACCCCTAGTTGTCTCTCCTATAATGTTATAATAATTATTATACTTGCCTATGTTATATTATACACCTTTTGAACCAGAAATTTATACACTTGGCTTTATCGACCTCTGCGAGTATAATATTATAATATCCGTCAACGAGAACTTTTTATCTATCTCTCTCTCTTTCTCTCTGTTTCATTCTCTATGTCTTCGTTACACACCCACCCACACTTAGCCACACATACACAAACTTTGATGCTATATTATACCTACGAGCACACCAGTTCAACAGAATAAAAAAAAAATACTATATTTGTAGTCATCGTGTTCAAAATTTTTAAAAAAAAAAACTTCTCCGATATTTTCTTTTACCTATGCCTATTTTATATTGTTATTTAATCGCTTTTTTTTTTCTTTTACATACTAACCTGACCTTGTAATACTGTATACTGTTATCACCTATTATAAGACCATCAATTTAATATTTGATTATGTAAACATACCTAATATATACCTATTATAATAAATATTCGTATCGTGAAATTTTAAGTTCGCAAAATACCATTATTTAGTTAGAAAAAAAAAAAAAAAAAACTCAACGTTTATAAACAATGACGACGGAATAACGCGGAGAAACAATCAGACAGAATGCCGTATAATTTTAATCTGAACGCAAAAAACCGTGAATATAACATAGTATTGTGTATCTCATAGGTGCAATTAGGTACAATACTGTATATGAGCCGCGAATAGGGGTCGACATGGTTCTCGTATTTTCGGTCCGAAATCCGCGGTATAATAAGATACCCGACATTACACGTACACCGAGGACAGAAATTTGTAACACATATTTACTATATATCTTGTATAGGAAAGTCTCGTAGGCCTGTTCCGAATGATTTCCGGTACCGGCCTAGGATTAATACAGCCCGTACCAAAAACAAAATCGATGTTCGGAGACGTTGTGGAGGTAAATTTTTACATTATAAAACAATCAGAAGTACGCCAATTTGTTGCATCCGACGTAGTAGACCGCACTTGTATATTATTATAATTACTGTTGAAGAATGTGTCTTTTGTAATCAGTTTTTTTTTTTGTTTTTTTTTTTTTTTTGGTCTTTTGGACATGGATTTTTATTTTTATTTTTTATTTTTTCAACCGTATATAATACGTACATATATAATAATATATACCACCGTTGCCATATTATTATATTAAGTTGTGTATAAATAAATATTATTACAATATTATTATTTACATAATTTTCCATACATATTATAATATATAGATGATATGTATGCATATATTTGTACGTATTTATATATTATAATAAAATATAATAATACGTGCAACGTAATATGTTATAATAATTTTTATAATATTATAATATTAAATCGCTCGCTACGTACCACATGCAGGCAAGCGAATACACGATACAAATATTTATATATATAATTGTCGAAATTTTTATTAAACCATATCACCATAACATAATTAAAATTATTAATTTATTAATATAATTATATATAATACATAGGTAGTTAAACATGTGTATAATAATACAGTGTAAAGATATCCAACATGTCCATAGCTGTTGAGAAATAACAACCGAAAACGATATTGTAATATTTGTTTTAATTTTTTTTATAAGTGTATACTTTATTTTGTTTTTTTTTTTTTTTAAATTACTACAACATTATATCGTTGAACTCTACTATCGTTCGATTTAAATTAATTTTTAATTTTATTCCGGATCACATCGTTTTTATGTTATTATTATGATTTTTGTATCATATATTATACATCGAATATTGTTAGTTTTAATACACCGTATAAAATAATATAACCTTTCGAATTAATAATAATTATAAAAGTTTCATTCTACACACAATCCAAAAAACGAATACGATCTCGAAATTTAAATAATCCACAAAGGATTACTCGGATTTTTGACGTGTTAAACTCGACATTTTATAAAACTTATAATAAAATACGTAGGTACACTTAACCTAAAACTCTAAAACCCATTTAAACCTACCAACCTAATATAATATAACTACGTAGCAGTCGTAATAAAATAATATTGTTTGTTAGATACACATTATACATACGTATTTTTTTATTGAAAGACATATTATTATTATTACAGGTATACGATAAAAGTAGTGAGTAGGAATTGGGTATCTATGTATCATGATACTGTTATTAGTATTGTTTATTACTTGTTATTTCCGATACATTATAATATATTTTGTATTGTACATTGCAGTAGTAGGAATACGTAGATACGACTTAAGTACAAAAATAATAATTGATTTATTATCGTCATTGTAGAAAATATTATTATAAACAAATTGTATTAGAAACATATCGTGGTATTACACATTACATTATTAAGAATATTTATTAACATAGCATATTAGTCTAAACGGTTAAAATAAATAATAAATATTAGTGAGTATATTATACTAAACGACAATAATAATAATAGTATTATATAGTTAGGTCCGTCGTTACATTGTTATTGATTAATTAGGCGTATTTTTTTTTTATTTTTTTTTTGGTAGATTAAAATATTTATATATATAATTTTTTATTATAATCATAATTATTTTATTATTTTTGTTACACGATTACAATAATATAGCGTTGGAATATTAATAAAATATTTCAAAATAGGTAGTGTTGTATTGTGTTTGTTTCCATTTTAAAATTATAATAATTAAATAATGTATTACGTTCGTCAAATCCGTTATACTATTATTTTATTATATTGATAACATTACGATGTTTGACTATGATATTATTATGCAAAGGTGGCCGAAAGTCATCGGTTGGCCGATTTACACACAATTCGAACTAAAAAAAACAATAGGAACAAAGTTCCAAGTGGGTTTTTACTACGTCTATCGTGAAATTAAGTATCGTAGTTAAATATCAAGTAATTAGGAGGAATGAACTTGGGTATAGACTCTCAATGAGCCGATTTCTTTTCATATTATAAACGCATACGAAAAATGACTTTTGGCTTTTGGCCGTCCTTGTATTATAAATACGCGAATATAGAGATATAGATAATATGAAAACGTATTAATTTCAATTTTATTCCAATTGTTAATTTTTCTATACCATATAATAACATACCGTATTGTCAATACTGCGATATCGAATTTTCGGTAACTTTTATACGAGTCAAAAGTTTGATATTCTATCGGCTAATATACAAGTCTGCATAAACTATTGTTCTCGGTTTTTTTTTTTTGAAAACAAATTTATAGATACTAACATATATATTTCCCATGGCCAATAAGCCGACGACGGGCGTTTGCGTTTAAATTCATAAACGCAGACGCATACCTACCTACGGTGTATGTTAGATTTAGTATCGTTAAATTTTTGATGGTATGATAATTTTATAACATATGTTATTATATTATATTAGATTTTATACATTATATACAAACTATATATTATATTATTTGTATTTCGTTTGTTATGCGCATTTTAATATTAATAACAAAAAAAAAAAAAAATTAATAATTACGAATGCGGCACCAAAAATGCATATTTTAGTCTGAAGTATATAATATTCTGCCATTAATGCATTATTAAGTATAGCGTAAATGTTAGGTATTATATTATTTTAATACTATTTAATACTTAATTTTTAACTTATAGAATATAGATATAATACAATAATGATCGAAGCATTAAAAACCGAGAAATTCGTTAAAACATTATAATAATAGGTATAATAGTAGGTATTGCATCGGTAATTATTATTGTTATTTTTATTATTATTTTTTTTTATCGATATGATATTTTTGTCATATACTCGTCGGAGCAGGATTGGACTACCTCATTGAATCGGCTGCATCTGAGTTGAATACTAGGGACCTAGTGGTTTTGATAGGTAGTGCACTAATTGGGTCCCAATGAATTTCGGATACTATACTGGTTGGGTCCCGACTTTTGTTATAAAAAATATACTAGTTGGGTTCGAACATTAAAAAACAATACAAAACATTTTCCTTCTTAGTTTAATAAACTCAGGACTTAATATTTATTTTACTATTGATTTTTTCTGTTATTTAATCCTTTATAATTTCTTTATTTAATAAAAACATTTTTGTAAAATACAATTTTTTTACGAACTTCTCATTTTAAAATAAGTATTTATTCGAATACTTTTTAAAATTTCTATCCAATGTCTACCATTTGATGGGTATATTCTTATGTATTATTTTTCTTAACTCATAAACTATTACATTAATTCATATTAATATTATGGTACTAAATAAACTGTCCGCCTAAACCCGGAACCCGACTAATAAACTACTAGCATACACCCGGGACCCAACTATACACTATCCGCATATATCCAGCACCCATCTAGTGTAGATTTTTAAACGTGGAACACAACTCGGATGTGCCGATCGATACAGCCCGGGAAATATGTATTATGCCACCTCCGTATCAGCTCATTGCTTTTTATTGTCAATACTTTTCCTCGAGATTGTCTGTATTGACGACCCATTATAACGTTCTATAGATTGACTATGCTTTACTGTGGCTTCAATTAGCTTACTAAAGGCCTCTAAATAACCGACTTAAGTTTCTATCAGCCTTTTAAACACTATTGTACATTACTATCAAATTATATTTCGTATTAGACTCAATTAGTCAATTGCTCCGATTATTCACTTGTCCTACTAAATTTTATCTCGTACATTGTGAGATTTTCCGGTGTCCCGCTGGCCTAGTCCAACCCTGCTGATCAGAGTCAGAATAATATATTTTAATTTTTTAATTTTGAATAATATAAAACTCGAAACAAACTGATTCTAACTAAAAAATAATAAATTCATAAATCATTTTAACTATTATGATCTTTTATATCTTAGAGAAATATAAAACATCAAATATCGAATGGCATTGTGCTCAGACAGCTTCATTTTTCAAACCTATTCAGAAAACTAAAAAGCATAAAAAAAGAACTTATGAGTGTATTACTTACAACTCGATATTCATCTGAATGCAATAATAAATAATTGTAAATAAAAAAATTTTCTGAGCAAACATGGTTTGAAATTTAATACTTTTTTACGAGTTTTGTACCAAAATTTTAAATAAAAAATGTATGTCGACTTTATTTTTAATCAATATATACAACCTAAGATGATCTTTGTGTTCAATTTGTCAAGCATTTCTGCCCAACCAAATAATTGAACCCGCATAAAACCAAATAAAAACTAAAAAACCATCATAAACGTCAAATACCTATAAATCAATTATTTATAATATAATAAAAATATTATTACATTGAGAAAAGTCTAATACTTATATTCGGAGGAAATGTCAGCTATCTACGAATATTTTTTAATCGAATTAAACAAAAATATGAAACCATAATATTGTCGTATTTTCTACGTTTTTTCTGATTTTTTTTTCTAATTATTAAGAACACTACAAGGGTAAAAAATAACAAATTCTTCAATCTATCTAAAATATAAAATTTACATTCAGAAAAGAAATTTTATTTTAAAATCATTATTATATGTCTAGTAGAAAATAGTTCAATAGATTCAATAGACATATAAATATAAATATATATATATTTCTTTTTTAAATTACGCATCATAAACTGCAATTCTCACTGCACTCAAAATTCAAAAAAACATATTTAAAAATATCGCTTTCTTAATAAAATTGATTTAAAAACGAATTCAGTTACACAATTTGCCTGCAGGATAAAAAAAAATTCAAATTTACTTAGTTTAGTTTTTATCGGTTTTTCAATATGAGGTTAACATCTTATCATTTTTGGACACACATATCTGTTTAATTTAAAAAGCGTTATACTACCGTACCGTATGTGAATTTGTCTCGTACTTGTCGCACGGAAAAATACGAGGATGATATAATTTTCTCCAATGTCGAAAATAATCATATATGCATTTCGCCAAAAAAGTGGAGCTGTCTGCTAGCAATTGCACAAAATTCACAGGTTTTATTATCAAATACGTTATCAGGAAAACAATAAAATGTTATAAAATTCTCGTAGTAATAATATTTGATTCGCGTTAAAATAGAGAAAATCGAGAAAAATACATTTTTAGAAAAAGATATTAAAGTAATTTATTAAATCCTTGTATACAATTATGTATATAATATGTTTTAGAATAAAATCTCTACATTGGCAAAGACCCGAGTATCCGAAATGTGGACGGTGGTTTTTTTTTTTCTTTGATCATTTCAATACTATTATTATTTTCTTTTTTTTTTAAACCACGTATAATATATTTCTATTTCGCGATAATAATTTATATATATATATATATATACTATATATATATATAAGATATAATCCTAAACTATAAAAGGTATCCTGTTTGTATATTTAGTTGGGAAATATACTTTTAGTTATATTTAGTTATATTATAATTGTTTTTTTTTTTTTTTTTTTTTTTTTTTTTTTTTGTTGACATCACCATTTTCGATAGTATTTTCACTGGTATATTGAGTATTTACAAAATAAATTCGGACCGAGAGGTATTTATACAGCAATCCGTCGGGTTTGGAGCTTTTCACTAGTTTTTTTACTGTATATACTATTTTTTACTCACGACGTGGAGAGTAAAAGTCGAAAAAGACAAAAAAACAGGGTTCAATTTTTTTTAAAGCTCCGAAAACGATTGTGATTACGACTGCGATAACCTTGGTGTCCTTTTGTATATGTATATATTTTATAAATTATACGAGTATTTTTGTATGAATATTGAAATCGTGTAACGGACATTATCTATCGGTCGGAGATACGATTTTCATTTCCGCGAGCTTGCGCAATACATTCATATATATATTATATGTATGTATATATTTATAGATTTTTTTTTATATTTTTTAAACGTATACGTTTATAATTTATACATATATTATGTGTGTGTGTTAAAAACTTATACGCTCTGTTGCTGATGCTAACGTATGAAGGACGATTTGTTTGTTTTTTGTTTTGAAATTTAAATATATTTATTATTTTAGAGAACCTGTTATTTTTCAATTGTTTAAACAACATTTAGACTGCTGATACATTTATGTATATATATATATAAACAGTTATTTCAATTCATTTCCCTATTTGTTTAACTGTTATTTTATATAATATATATTTTAAATTTGATTTTCTAATTTTGATTACATATACAATTACCGACCTATATATAAAATTAAACTTGTCAAAACTATTGTATATCAGTAAACAGATTTAGATCAGATTTTTTTTCTCACAGAATATTGAATACCGAAAATGTACCTACTTTAATTGAATTAATTTTTATTTTCGTTTTCTTTATTATTCAGCTATTTTCTTCCCGTTTATAATGGTATAAGTGTATAACCAGCAGCTTATCCTGCAGAAGGGATGGGAGGGTTAGTGTTTTAAAAGCAGAACATTTTGAACAAATATTTCAGAACTATTCAGAAAATTACATTCATACGCAAGTAACATATGTAGTAACTACATATGTTTACGAAAATTTAAATTCCACAAATGTTTAAACAAACGAGGAAAATGGCTACAAATCGTACCCAATAGTAGGATTTTGTTAACAGTCGACAATATTATTGTTTTCAACAAATAAATCCCTAGTTTATTTAAAAATAAATCATCCTAAATATTATATTTATAAAAACTTTAATAAATGATACTGCCCTCGCCGCTGCCGCCGCCGCCGCCGCTGCAGCTAAATAATATTATGTATCGCCGCCGCCGCCGCCGCCGCTAAGTCTCTTTTTTTTTTGCTTGGCACATGGTTTTCATATTATATTGATAAATTTTGTATTTTTATTAAACTGACGCTCTGTGAAATCATAGTTAATAATATTATGCGTATAATATTCATCAAAAATTCCTACTCGCGTATATCAACTTATTATCACTTATTCGTTTATTATAGTAAAAATCGATAAGCGACAATACAACAAGCGAAAATTATAGTTTTTCGTAATATTTTCATATTTTCGATAATTCGTTTTACTCATGGCCACCGCCTGAGAAATCCAATATTTGATTTTTTTTTTTTCCTTCGCCTTCATCCTAACTATTTGGAGTCTACCAGCCTCGTCCTGAACTTCTACTTAGCCTGATCTCCCATGTAATCCTCGCATATACCGGCCGTCTTCGTATCATTCTCAATGACATTCAACTACCTCTTTTTGAGTCTTTCTCTACCCTTCTTTTCACCTACGTTTATTTTGTTCACCATTCTTACGAATCCTAATTCCTCTCTCTTTATGACATTACCAAACCAAGTTGGTCTATTTTATTTTATTTACTCTTATATCGAAGTCACGTCTAAGATATTTCCTTTCTTTCCTATCCTTTCTCGTCACTCCACTTATCCAACTATGCGTTTTCAATTCAACTCAACATTAAATTGTTGAACTTACCTCTAAGTCTCTTTGGAATTCTCTTTCCACTTAAAACACTATTGATGTTTCTCTGTACTTGATCCAACCACACTTTATCCTATGTTTCACTTCCTATTTAAAATCTCTTGTATAAAATATCCTGGATACTTAACACTCTCAACCTCTATTATTTTACCGCTTATTTTCATTACTCGTCGTATCCTGTTAATGTATTTTCTTCATTATTTTAACTCATAATATATCTACTTTATTTCATTGATCCTTATCCTTCCCATTTTTCAAGTGCTCTATTCTCTCCGTTCCTTAAATCTATTTCTACTTTATTTCAGATCGAATTCATTTTTATAATTTTAACGTTTAAATTCAACTGTAACTTTACTGGAGTTATCGTTTGCGCATATTATAATTCAAAGGTTTATTTGAATTATAATATATCATGCCTTTTGTGCTTCTTTTGGTGGAAGAATGGAGTTGTGAATCTCAAATATATTTCAGGACGGATAATATACTATTAAAAAGAAAACATTCATAGCATATATACAAGGTCTAATTAAAATTTGTAAACTGTGTACGTTGCATATCTATTGATCTTTAAACGTTGGGAAAATTTATTAGAAATATACGAGATTAAACTTGACACAGTCAGCTGCTATAAGTGATTAAGCGAAGTGTAATTTTTAATCATGTAGATTTCATTTAAAGCAAACATTTATAATAACACAAGTGCATATGCAATTTCGCTATAAGTCGTGAGAGATGGTCTTCAACGAGCCATAATGAGAAAATAATCCTAAAAATTTGAAAATCTATAGGAGATAACTATCACGATTTTTCATGAGATTCAGTAACGAGTTCAAAATCTTATTTGGATCAGTTCAAATTATTTTGACTGTTGTTTCAGGCACGAAAAGAGTATCAGCCAAATTTTTTCCAAAAATTCTTCAAAAGTATCAAAAGGATAGTCAATTACAGATCGTTACTGATTTGCTAGAATGTGCTAAATTTGATCTTTATTTCCGTAAACTACTAAATAACGTTTGGTAGGTTTGAATGGGAGTTTTCTTAAGTGCATAAGGAAATTCAATACAAACGCGTCGTTCTAGTTTTTGATAACAATGAAATTTGACAAGACGTAAGCACACTCATCGCTTAATCACTTCTAGCGGTTGACTAAGTCAGAAACTGAGTACGTATTTGAAATTATAAGAAAATGTCTGCTGTAATTGGAATACAAATAATACAACTATATTTACGTATAACGTAGAATTCATAAGAAAATTTCAAATTGCAGGTGTGGAGTCTATAACACTAATATACTCATCTCTCTGGTTGCACAACTAATGTTGTTTACCTCTTTTACCTATCCTCCTGTTGTCACTGAACTTTTGAAACCCTCATTTGAAAACAATTAAACATAACATTAGTTAAAAGTTCTACTATGTAAATAGTACTAGTATATAGATATATTATTTTTATAAAAAATAACAAACAAATGAGCGTAATTTAAAAAAGAAGGCGTTCAGGCAATACTTATGGCAATGCGCAAACGACAGACTCCGAAAATAAGTTTGGGATTTTCGCGTTTCGAAGATTTATACCAATAATAAATACCTAGGTATTTATAGTCATATGCTTTTTGCGTGTTCAAGCATTTTACATGTTATTATACCGAAATTATCATAGTATTTGATATAAATTATTATTACCGTGGTATACATATAATAGCATATTAATATAATAAATGGATCGTCATCGATATCTATATACAAACATATACATACATAATATGTATGGTATATATTATATACCAAGTATATCGTTGTTTACACAGATAGACTTTGGGAATGAATTCATATCATATGAGTGTTTTTAAAAAACTATTTTAGGTTAAGACTAGAGGGTCCTCAATTGCAGTCATATTTGTTGCATCAGATTTATCAACCTGAAAAACCCTTTTTATTTGAAAAATCATTCCAATAAATAATAGATTTTTTGGTTTTTATATTTCAATAAATCTTAGTTGTATATATCTTTCCAGTGAACCGACATACGTCTATTTCTTTAAGTAGAACATTAAAGCACATATTTGCAAATAAAACGATGCAAATGTTGGGCTAAATAAAAAGAAATCGTCATGATATATTTTTTTCAATGCTTGTTCATACCACTTATGTCATTAAAATGTTAATAGTTAGTAACAATTTTATTTATTTCAGTAATTATAATTAAAATATTCACAATTTTTTTATAAATTTTTTTTTAAATTTATAATTTTAGGATTTTCTTATGATAATTTAAATTTAAATTTTGTATCCTTAATATAATTTCTTCATCAACAACACGAACTATAAGAAAGACAAAATGTCTTTAAAATGGATGTTGTTAGTATAGTCTCAAAGATGGGAACACCACTGGTTTTAAGATTTTCTTTCACTGCAGCATATGATTATTCTTATAATGAATTCATTTCCAATGTTAAAAACCCTGAACGCTTTTGTAGATAATTAATATGTTTGTATGTATGTTTGGATCAGGCGCGTATATATCAGACACATTTATCGGAGGGGGTAAAATTGAAAAAAAATATATGTCTAGTTTATCTACTAAACACGTAAGTATTAATACTTATACCCTGATATTTGGGAAGGGGTGAGAGGTTGTGCCCCCAAAACTCCCTCTCGTATACGCGTCTGGTTCCGGTGATAAAACATTATGTCGTTCAACACACTTTTTTTTTCAAAAGTGTCGAGTTCAAAATACAGGTCTTATAGTGGTTATAATCGTTTGGCATAACGATCATCATAAGTATTCACGCTCGAGCATCCGTCTCACCAATATACCTAAATAGGTATACATACTTAATATTGATGAGGACCGCGAGCGCGCGAATTCGTTCGTTCATAGACGTGTTATGATTTTTGTTTTGTTTTCGGGATGTTTTTTTCATGCATCGTTATTTTTTTCCGCATCGTAAACGATAATTCGCCTTGTTTACAGGAAAACTTCATAAACGTTGGATTTCTCCGTCTGTTCCGGGCCGCAAGACTGATAAAACTGCTCCGACAAGGGTACACGATACGAATATTGCTTTGGACGTTTGTCCAATCGTTTAAAGTAAGTATATTGTCATTTTTTTTTTTAATAAACATTTTAATAATGTATTTTAATTTTTCGACTTGTCCCGCAGGCATTGCCCTACGTCTGTCTACTGATCGGTATGCTGTTTTTCATTTACGCTATCATCGGGATGCAGATTTTTGGAAATATACTCCTGAACCCGGTGACGGACATTAACAGGCACAACAATTTCCAAACGTTTGTCCAGAGTCTGATGCTGTTATTTCGGTAAAAAATGCTAAATAATATAAAAACTCGGTTCCGGCTGAATCAGTTTTCTTAGAAATACATTTTATTACTCATATCATTTCGTTTCAAAGTACCATTTTGGTATTGTGTCATCGGTTGTAATATCGGTCATAATTTACAATATCTATGTCTATAAAAATGTTGTAGATGCGCTACGGGCGAAGCGTGGCCGTCGATTATGTTATCGTGTAACAAAGGTAAACCGTGTGAAACAGGAGCGAAGAAGCTTGGAAACGATTGTGGTTCCAACATGGCCTACATGTATTTCGTGTCATTCATTTTCTTCTGTTCGTTTTTAGTGAGTACTTTTTTTCGCGTCTTTTTTGTTTCATTTAAATAATTCGATTTTTTCCCCTTGTTCAAATTGTACTGTTCCTAAATTAGCGAATTAAAAAAATAAATTCAGGTTAAAACTATCCTAAGTTCGAATTATTTATAATTTATATTAATAACCCTTGAAATACAATTCTATCCACAAAATATACTTTTTACTTAAAGTTTTTATTTTAAAAAAATGTGTGATGAAGTTTCTTCTGCAATGAACTGTCAAGTGTCAAAGTGTCTGTAAATGTACGATTTATAACGACAATTTCTGTTATTGTATTATTTAGATGTTAAACTTGTTCGTGGCTGTTATCATGGATAATTTTGATTATCTGACTCGAGATTCGTCGATTTTGGGTGCACATCATTTGGACGAATTCGTACGGATCTGGGCGGAATACGATCCAAACGCCACGTAAGTGTATAAAATATTCAACTTTTAATTTCTGCACCAATAAATAATAGACCAATATGATTTAAAAATATATAATTTAATTATTAAACTCTATAATGATGCATAACTTTTGCGGATGTTTATAGTTTTGATAGAAGAAACAGGAACGCCGGGTCGGTAAAGGAAGGTTAAGTAAACAATAATGGAGTATAATATTATAGAGTACGATTTTAAGCAAATTTATGATGGATCGAGATAATTGATATGATGAGGGAGAGTATCAGACTGAGGTGGTTCTGATATTTGATAAGAAGAAATATAAAAAAAACTATGAAAGTAATTTTTACAAATTAATACAAATAAAAGAAGACGTGAGATGAGATGGAGAAAAAATATAACACAGTTAAGAGTGATATGAGGATTTATGGGGTATGTGTAGATGATGCTAGAGACAAATTTAACTGGAGAGTTATGACCAAGGTAGCTGATTCCAAATAAATCAGATTAAAGTCTAGTGAGAAGAATCATGAACGATTCTCTGACTTAAGAAAAATACGAATTATTGCACTCTATACAATTATGTATTTTAGGGGAAAGATACATTACACGGAAATGTACGACATGTTGAAAAACATCGATCCGCCTTTGGGTTTTGGCAACAAGTGTCCGAACCGTTTAGCGTACAAAAAACTTATCCGAATGAACATGCCCGTCGATCAGGATGGTAAGGTGCAGTTTACTACCACGTTATTTGCTCTAATCCGGGAAAATCTGAGTATCAAGATGCGATGCGGTAAGTTCATGAGAATAATTTATATACATATAGTTAATACAAACCGCGTTTCGGTAATAATATATTTTCGACGATGTTTTTCTCCCCGATCGTATATAGCTGAAGAAATGGACCAAGCGGACGAAGAGTTACGGGAAACGGTCAGACACATATGGCCGCTACAAGCTAGAAAAATTCTGGAATTACTTATTCCAAAAAGCGATTGTGGGTGTTTTTTTCATAGACCATGTTGTCTTTGCGTGAATTCATAATTTTTTTTTTTTTTCTAACCGTACAGGTTTGAACGCCGGAAAATTAACGGTGGGCAAGATATACGCGGGACTGTTGATTTTGGAGAGTTGGAAATCCACGAAATTCGGTCAGGTCGAATCGTCGAATCCACAGGTAATATATATTATATTCATAAAATAATGTTTAACGGCTAAATATAATTATAATATACCTATTATAAATAATATGTTTAAAGAAAAAAAAAACACGTATTAACGTGTAAAATTAATCATTATTATATATAGAAAAAGGGTAAAAATATAAAATTAAAAAAAAAAAGTTAAAAATAGTAAGGCGAAACACATAGTATAATATTATTTTATGCCCATGGGAAAATTTTAATAAAAATTATTTAATAATATATATATATAAAAAAAAAAAAAACGTACGTACGTACAGTTAAGTCAGTTGTTTATTTATTGAGTGCTATTACCCCTAATTTTTATTTTATTTTTTTCAAATTGTCATATTATTATTTGTGTTGTGAACTTTATCGATGCGTGTTTATTTTCCTTGGACCGATTACAATGTTTTCCATTGGTGTGTTTTTGGTGAAACAATATTATTGGTTGGTGTACAGCGCATGCACGATTTAATTTCAGACTGTTTTTGTTCGGTTTTGTTGATTTTTGTTTTTTTTTTTTAATTTTTTTTTTTTATGATTTATTAATAATTGGTACAAAAATCAATGTTGTGAAAGCGAATTTTTCTTTTTGATTTTGTTTTCACATTGTATTAAAAATCGTTTATAAGGTACGAATATTTTAACGTAACGCAAACTAAACGGCCGTCACAAATTAATTTTCGTACTTTGTTTACGTAACCATGAGGATACCAAAACAATTTTGTTTTATAAAAAGCTACAACATTGAGCTTTGTGGACACGAAAAAAAACACGTTTTGCTTTTACACGTTCACACTTGTTTGACGGTATTTTTATTTTTATTTTTTGACATTTTGTTTTGTTTTTGGTTTTGATTTTGGTTTTGTGTTGTAAAATCCCCGATTTTTCTACGAAAAAAAAACCATGCCGTATACATTAAAATATATAAACGTAAAAATATTATAAGGTGTCGACATTTTTAAACACAAGTAAAAGTGTTTTTGGTTTTATCGTTTTAATTTTTGTTTTTTATTTTTTGTTTTGTTTTTAATTTTTTATTATTATTTATAGCTTTAAAAATAATATTATATAATATATTTGATATATAATACAGTTTTTTTAGTAGATAGGTGATTATAGTCAGTGAAGTAGGTATATTATTATATAATGACATTGTTTAGTGTAGTATGTGCACAAAATAATAATTTGTCGATGTGTGGAGAATATTATTGAATAAGGTTGGGTGGAATTTGTTTTTATTTTAGGCATAATAAAAATCGTGGAACACCGTTGATGTTTTTATAGGCTTAGAATATTATTATTCGTAGAACACATAATATTTTTTAGAGCATGGAAAAAAATGGGTGAACGAAATTACCTAGTAAAAAATGGAAATTGAGAACAGTCGACATAGAGNTAGTTTCATATTTTTTTTTTTATTTTTTTTTTTTTTTTTTTTTTTTTTTTTTTGTTATTGTTTTATTATTATTATTATTTTTTTTTTTTTGTATTTACATATTATTTTATTTACTCGTTATATGTTGGCTATAAATTCCTTTTTGTTCACACATTATAAAATTTACTATGTCGTTTATTCCTATAATTTTATTCACATACCTGATAGCAATAATAACACCTATTGATAGTATGCACTAAGAGAGAAACGTTAGTATAAATTACAAAAGAAGAAAAATAACCAATAACCTCATCAGTTTTTTCTACTTTACGTATAATTTGATTTCTATTTTGATAATCACCCCTGTTTTTTTTAATATACGTACCTAATATTGGACGTTATTAATTCAGAGCCTATTCAGAGTGAACATCATTAAAAACGGATCGTAACAACAGTATTACACTTCTAGAACACTTTTCACAGCGTTTTGAATATTCTAATATAATAATAATAATAATTATTATTATTATTATCCATTTATCGAATATAATTTTATCAATTTTGTCAATTTATACGTTTTTATCATAATCATTCATCGTATACCTAATATATGCTATGCAGTGCCGTGCTAACTATCGTTAATACCCTAAAAGGCAAACACCGTGTTGAGTGCCCGAGCTTGATATCCATCTAAAATTTGACGACCCAACATTTTGTGACACCCTTGACGCCTTATGGCAGTTGACTCCTTCCCTCTTAGCATGGTCCTGTATGTATGTATAGATACATATATTTATACATAATCCATACGATCACTACATATTTTATAAAATAGTAAAGATCTATTTGTTAATTTATTATTATTTATTTAATTTTCATTATTATTATTATTAATTTATTTTTATTTTGTTTTGTTTCATTGTTATTATTATTATTTGTTTTTTTAAATCCTTGTCCTCTAATATATTTACATAAACCCTACCCATATTACTAAATATTTTATTATTATCAACCCGCCCCCCCATCCACCATGAAATAAATAATACATATTATATTATTATAATTTCCCATAATATATATTTAAACAAAAACACACACACACACACATACACACACACACGTACACACTTATCCGTATATTGTTATATATTATAATATTATATAGACACTAAAATACCTATTATAATAATTGTCATATAATTATATATAGGCAACGTGCAAGTAAACAAAAATATTATTATTATATGATATGTTAACATGATAATATATTTTGTTCGTCTATTAGACCACAGTTCAGCTGGCTATTATACATTAGATAATAATATTCTATATATTTTATACATATAGCGCTAAACATTATTTGTTTATTATAATACATTTTGTATTTTTCTAATTTTTCATTATTTATTTATTTAATTATTTATTTATTTATTTATTTATTTATTTATTTATTTATTTATTATTCAGTACTTTTACAAACATAATATTAAAATAGATTCATTTCTTATTCATGTATAAAAGCACGGGTCTTTTTTGATATAAACGGAACATCACGAACCCTGTAATACACGTCTATATAATAATTATATTATTAGCATAGCGTGTATAATTCATCGTCATATTTCATTATAACTTCGCATATTATATATGTTTTTATTATACACTTTTACGATAAATATTATTATAGTCTGATCGTTTTTTTTTCGTTTTGCCTACCCGCATTCTTAGACGTAGTAATTCCACCAGTATTTTTTTTTCTTAGTTGCACGAATAATATAGTAATTGTTATTATAAATATGTAATATTATGTATTCTGCACACGTGTGTATGCGATAGTTACAATGTTTTATTATATTATAGATTATAGATTATATTATTACAAAATATAGATAGATTGCGATGGTTTGTTATTTTTTTTTATGTGTTTATTTTTTTCATTTATTTTTTTTATTTTTATATATATAAATAATATAACGATATATAATAATAAAAAAAAAAAAATAATAATATAATTATATATTATATACGATATAAAGAAAGCGAAAAAAAAAAGAAAACAATAAATCGTGAAATTTCAAAAATAAAAAGTAAAATAAATTACCTACCTATACATTCATTTATTTTTTTTAAGCTTATACAACACCCGCTTGATGATAAAGCTTCGTGTATATATATTATACAATATCTTCGTATATAAAAAAAGTTATACATACAAAGCTTACTTTATTTATTTATTTTTTATTTTAGGGAGATATGGTGGTGGTTAGGCTATACAAAATTATATATAGTTGCACATTGTTGCACTCCTAAACAATACATTGCTATACTATGTAATTTTTCGCTAATTTTATTTTTTTTATTGTTTTTTTTTCCATTTCTAGTTTACCACTTTTATACCACATATATATATGTATATATATATATATATGTATATACATATATATATATATATATATTACATTATACTGCCTACCTACCTATCTATTTACACTATTATACTATCTTTTTTCTATAAAACGTTATTGTGTAAAAATTTCAAACAGCACTCGTCATTCTTTACGTGCCTGATGGAGGCCGCCGGTGCGACCAATTGGAACGCGGAACGTGGACAGGACGAAGACGAAAACAGCTGTTTACTTGACAGGACAAACTCCAGGAGCAGGTAATTTAGACATTACACATCACTCAATACGAAGGCGGTGTACTTATCGAAAAAAATAATCAACATTCCACCATCTTATGATATTTTATACTATCCACTATTATCTGATTAGCCCGATTCATTTTTAAATCTATATATTATGGTTATATGTATTAATTTGTTTTTTCTACTTGATTCTCTATATGATATAATAATGTCAAATCTCACGAATACGTAGCCTAAAAACAAATAATAGTATATTTATATTATAAACGTTATATGCCATATTATATTACAAAAAAAAAATCAAAACGGATGAATCTATTAATTAGTACGTTTATATGATGCGGCGTTAAAACGGTTTAGCTGAGTATCTATTACACCCGTTTGTATATTAAATCAGTTTAGTGATCATTTTGTAAACTGATTTAAGAATGGTACTTGTACAATTTTATTATCAAATTATTAAAATGAAACAGATTCTACTATAAGATTAAATATTATTATTTAATCTTAAAGTAAGTATATTAAAATATAAAATAAAAAATCTAGACGAAACTTATTCAAAAAAACTCATATAAATAATATTTTACCATTATTATTATTTCGTATGGCATGGGTAATTGAAAACATGGTTGAACAACAAATTCTAAAATAATTTTATTTAAATCTAAATTAAATAAACTGATTGCATCATAATCTTAGTCTAAAGTTGAATGTCTAGGCTGTTTAACAATTCTATGGGGTCAGCTGAAACTTCATTTATACCATTTGTGCCCTTTGGAAACCTTCTGTTATAGCTCTCGTAACTAAGCACAGAACTATCTGAATGTAATCGTTGCAATCAGATCTCGGATCCCTTTTATTGTCCACTTGTGAAGTAAATATCCTTATCTACCATGTCCCGTCCTTATACTATTTAGTTTTGTCCATCTTTGTCTATAATTGACCATGCAACGTACAAAGCCTGATAAAGTTGTACATTTTTGTTGGACTTCAAAAACCCGTATATAAATCACTGAATTGAAGAAACTTACCGAGCTTAGAGCTTACCGTTGGGAACGGTCTAGTAATAATATTTTAGATCCTGAGAGTAGTGAAGAGTTTATTTGTTTTATTATATGATGTATGCTCTTTTTTCTTTCTATAAATAACATTTTAAACAGAATTAATTTTGATTTAATTATCAAACTCAAGAAAGTTTTTGATAGTGAGTTTTGTCTATTTGGTGCATTGAGATAGTAATTTTTTTGATTTTCAGTTGTAATTCAAAGTTTATAAGTCAACGTAGCGTTCTAACGTTTTTAAATCACTAAGCAGCTCACCAAATTGTACATGGTAGCCTGTTTGTATGTTCATTTGAATTAACCGCCAAAGGAGAGCTCAAAGTCGATTTTTGGTTAGATAGAGCAAGCTTTCTAAATGAATAGTTATTTACAAAGAGAAAAAAACAAGTACATATCAATGTAAAAAAAAATGACACGATCTAACATGAATGAACACGCACTTTCATTTTACAAGTATATACGTTGTCACAATAAATAAACCTATTTTAAACTGAAAATAAACATTGCTAGGAGGTGAAATATTTTTAGAGTAATATTATGGCAATATTATTGGTTTCATTTGGTATAGCTTATATTATCTTTGATCAGTATTTTGTCACGATTATCGCGGTTGACGTTTTTGTAAGTGGACCATATTTCTGTTTACGATAATGGGCTGCTTGGGCATTTCAATAGGTTTTTAATTTTTTGTTTCATACTAAATTTCTATCTTCTGAAATTTATGTAGATTTTTTAATTTATCTGTTATTCTATCTACTCCCATTCTGAGTCTAGTCAGAAATATCCAGTTACCAATTTTGATCATCGCGCTTGTTAAGGAGATCTTTCTATGAATTTTGTACTTTTGAGGAAAATGGCACAGCTCCTGCCACCGCATTGTCCCTTCAACCTTACATATGGCTACTTTACTAATTTCTCGAACCCGAGATGTTATACCGTTGAAGTTCAACAGAAATATTGTTAAAATTATTTAGGTACCGCGTAACTCAGTGGTCGAGCAATCATACGGAAAACGAAAGACTAGGATTCGATTTCCGGTCCAGCCTGGTTTTTAGCACTATTTTTCTGATTGCGTTAAAGATCTTCTTAGACTTGAGTCAGAATTTCAGTTAGATCAATTAGATCAGTCTATGTAACGAATTTCTTGTTTTTTTTCGGCTTTTTATCGCTATCAGCTCGCTATGACTTGTCAGCAAAGGTTATAGCCACGAGCCGGTATATTTTAAGAAATGTGCTATTGTTGAAACAGCCGTGATATCATTTGACATGATTCCCCCATTGCTATATATACCCGTTTTATATATATAGACCCAAGTATTCAGAAAACAAAGTTATCTAGTTTTTCCACTCAATATTCAGATTCGGGCCTATTCATTTATTTCAAACCGCTTTAACGCCATCATATAAACGTAGGAACCTCCTATAAATGCAACGTTTTGAATGGAATGTGTTATATTTTCGTACATCGTTTGTTCGTATATGAAAAAATATACCTATATGGTGTCGTTCCGAAACACAAATATGATATTATACCGATGACGGATGGTCTTATTTGTTTCAGGTCTAAAAATAAGGTGATGACCGTAATGACAAAGTAATATATTACTCATGAATATACCTACGTCAACCCGGCCCCCAGAGAGTATATTATTATTATTACCTACTCCCTGCCTCTCTGTCCTGTTTTTACGTATTTTAAGAGTGAAAAGTATTAAATAACATATTTTTATTTTATTTTTAAGATAATATTTATTTAATATAATAATATATAATATATATTATTAATACAAACTTTAGGCGATATTCTTAACACTGCGTGTGTAATTTTATATGGTACGTAGAATTGAAAATTACATATATTTAAATTCATTGAGAATTAAAACGAAACTTCTCTAGGCCAAGTTAAAATGCCTACATATATATATAATTATATATTATTATATATTATAATAAGAGAGTGGATAGATTTTCTCATCAGTGTTCTGTGGAACGCAGCATTTCGCGATTTCACAGTGCCTATCAATGACTAAGATATATAAAACTGATAACGAACGATAGGAGAAGTATAGGGGACTGGCCACAAAAAGGTGTATAGGTATTATAGTATGATGTCGTACGATTAAAGCCGTTTTGATGGTCAATTGATGAAAAACACTTGAAGTTCACCAATAACTCGCCGTTAACCCAAAAAACTAATACGAAATATATGTGTAACATTGTCGTATCATTTATTTGGCACGTTGTATTTATTTAACCGGACAATAATTTTTTTTGGCTTAGATGCGATAAGTATAATGCAAACCTTATATCAGTTTGAATCACGGTTGAAACATACAATACAGTAAAGTAACACGTATTAACACGTATTATACATATGTATAAAACTATTAGTTGTATTTTTTTTTCTCTATACAATTTTTTTGACTGCAACTGAATAGAAGTTATAAGGTAAACTAATTATCAAGTGAATTTAATCATCATTTAATGTATCTTATATGTTGTATTTTATATTTATTACTAAGTTCGTTTTTATTCTTTATTCTTAACTACTCCAATATTTATAATTTGTTTTGTTTTTATTTTATTCTAAATTAAAAGAAATTCACCAAATTTATGTGATTTGTTAATTTGTTATATAAATTTATAAAATTTAATTCTTATCAAAATTTAAAAAGTACAACATTATCACTATTATAATAAACATCAAAAAAAAAAAAAAATTCAACCGTTACAGGCATTATAAAGTTGTATACGTTTTATACATAAGGTATTATACGTGATAGGTAGACAACGGTTTATACACGTATATCATCAACCCTGGTTTAAATAAAAATATTATTATTTTTCTTAACTTATAATAGTAGAATCAGTTAGATAAAAATGCCCATACTACTCTATAATAATATCGATTAATTTTATTTAATGTTGATGCTCGATTACATGTATCGGTGTGCAATCAAATTTCTTTTTAACTTTGAACCACGAATGGCCCATAATAGTTCTATTGTACACAATTTTGTGTAAAACTAGATCAACGCCAAATATCATTCTCAGTCGTGCAATACAAATTATTATATATAACAATGGTGCAAAAAATCAATCGAGAGTTCTAAATCGTATTTTATCGACACGGAGTACGAATAGTTTTTATTTTACGAGTCCCGGCGATGACATAAATATATTTATTGATATATAAATTTATGTTTTTTCTGGAGGTGTTAAATAAGACGAAACACCAAATAGATAGAGGTTAAACATTCTTTATTACTTAACTCCTAAAATATACATATGTATGTCCCTCGAAAATTTATCGAAGAAACCTTCCTTAGAAACTAATTACCAGCCCCTGTCTTAGCGGATACTTTTTAGAAATAATATAATATTTAATACTATTTCGCGTATTATAGGCGCAACTAAACTACCAATTTAACGGATGTTAAATTATATACACGTGGCGGATCTATGGTGGGCAATATAACAGCAATCTCTTTTAAGTGACACTAATAATAAGCAACTACACATTTAATTTTCAATTCGCTGCATAAAAATGTATTATGTTCTTTTTAATTTAATTTTTTTTATTTAAATGCATTGTTTGTAGGTTGCCTATATTTGTTCTGCTTATTGAATATGAAGTACATGGATAAAATATTTAGTTGATATTATAAAAAAAAAAAAAAAAAAAAACATTTCAATGTTTTGGATGTGCTAATTTCAAACTCGGGGGTGCTAAATACCCCCTAGTACCCTACTAGTTGTGCATATGGCTCGTATGTAATACAGTGCCGAGCAGAGAAAAGACTCGGTAGAACACCGCCTGCAATGTCTACAAACTTTTTTCTCACCGCGATTACGTGCGCTTCGTTCCCAACCGTGTATCTTGGTCCGTAAAATCTGAATCACTGTAATAGGTACGAGAGGGGGGGACCAAACGAAGTAACGGTGTTAGTGGTACACACCCGGCATTTAGATACACGACAGTGCAAAATCGCGAAATAACGGCACTCGTAAAAAACTAAATAATCATTCGAAAACGGTCCCTTATAGTTCACCACTCTTTGATTATAAATATAATATTTATATATTTATGTATACATGTACACTGTATAACTAGGTTATTTGTAGTCTAAAATATAAACGATAATGCAGTAACATACATGGCATTCGTGTTACATAGGTAAATATTATTCATAGGGACGACAATCAAGTAATAATATTATAATAACTGATAATTAGCGGTGAAAATCCTCCGAGTGATTAAAAAATGATTTTATTTTTGTTTTTTGTGTCAAGTGACTATAATCTGTGTGTGTAAAACGGTTCTATGTTTGTGTATTTTCAGCGGTATAATATAACGCAATCCAAACGTTTGAGAAGGAGACGTGGCGATATTTTTGAAAAGGTATATAATAAAATACGTCTGACAATTTGAGATTTTATCAAATATATTATTATATACTCGTACTTAACTTAATAATACTCCCCGGAGAAATAGTTGAATTTTTTTTTTTTTTTAATAAATATTCTATCGTTGGTTGTTTTCGTATACATCTATAATAATATTTATATAATATACGTATGTTGGTATATTTTTTTGTATATTTTCGTTATTATTGTGTAGAACTCTTGAATAATAATTTCGATTTGGTATTTTTATTATAATTTTTTTTTTTTATTTTTATTTCAACTTAATTTTTCGGAAACTAAGAATTTCGCTATAACGATTTTATTATAATTAATACTATTAGAACTTTTGTTTTATTTGTGAACTTTTGTTTTATTTGT